AAAAAAAAAAAAAAAAAGTTTAATCTTCCAGTTTATCCAAAGGTGATTGTGGTATCTTATTTTTTTCTTCCTGGCAGAAATTCAGATTGGGGACCAGGGAGATGGCTCAGTAGAATAAGTGCTTCCCTGGCAAGCGCAAGGGCCTGAGTTCAATCCCTGGTTCCGCCAAAAAGAAAAGAAAAAAGAAAAAGAAAAATTCAGATTGATGGCACCAAAGTCTCACTCTGAATTTCAGTAGCCCTTGCAGCTGCCTTCTAAACGGTTCCAGATGGAAATTATTGAGACAGCTCTAACTCCAACCCCACACTCAACTTGCTCCTTTCCCCACCACTCCTGCCCCCTGTTCTTGTCTCTCTCACTTGGTCATTGCTTAGTTCTCCAAGACAGACTTGAGCGTTATCCTTAATGCCTGTTCCTTTAGCCACCTCCTCGAGTCAGTAATAGGCATCAGTTGTGTGATTAGTCCTCTGGTCCCTTGCATGCCATTTCCCAAATATTGCAAAACCTCCCTCCCTTCTAGTATTACTACTTGACTTTGGGCAGTTACTTCGTTTTCCTCTTTCTTGGATTCCCCACTTGAGACAGGGTCTTACTATGCAGTTCAAGCTGGCCTTCAGCTCACTGTGTAGCCCAGGCTGGTCCCAAACTCACAACAGTCCTCCTGCCACAGCCTCCTGAGTGCTGGGATTACAGGCATGTGCCACCACGCAGGGCAAGAAATTATTTTTTAAAGAATTTAAAAAAAAATTTTAAAATGTATTTATTTATTTGGTACAGGTCTTCCTATGCAGCCCAGACTCTTAGTGATCCTCCTGTCTTAGCCTTCCCAGTGCTGGGATTACAGGCAGGTGCCACTACACCTGGGGGCTGGCTCAGTTCAAGCATTCACGTGTACTGGGTTAGAACCCAGGTACTTGAACTTGCCAGGCAGGCACTTAGCCCGCCAAGCTATCTTCCCAGCCCCCATAAATAAGAAATTGTGTCTTTGTATCTTCCTTATCAAGTTGCAAAGATGAAATAACAGCTCAGAATACTAGCAAATGTTTAGATAATGACTGGGAGCATAGTTTGCTTACTGAAATGACCATCTAATGAGTCTCCCGTCCTTTGATCCCCTTCTCCTCCCTTGTAGCTTTCAAGATCTTTCTGAAAGGCAAATCCCTTTAAGCTACTCTTCTATGCCCTCACTATTCCCTAAGTTCCATTCCGTGTACCAGGGTTGGGGTGGTACTCGGTGGGAAGAGCACTTGCTTAGTATGCATGAGACTCTGGTTCAGTCACAAAAATAAATAAGTAGATTTCACAAATAATCTCACGCAGGGCTGGTGAGATGGCTCAGTGGTCTAAAGCACCTATTTAGAACAAGTTTAGCAAAGCACAGGGACCGAGGTTCAATCCCCCAGCACCACATGCCAGCCAGCCCCGCCCCCTG